ATTGATCGGATTGCCTTACCCACCTTGGTCACTTAGGAGAATTTGGATTTAAAATAATAAAAGCCAGCACATTTTTTTTTTTCCTTCTACAAAAGAGAAGCCTATTTTAATTAGGCTTTGTTTCCAAGGGCTCCCCTTACCTGTGAATATTTCACCACCACCTGGTTTGGTACCATACTTCCACTGAGGTGCTTTTTGATACTGAACTTCCTTAAAGTACAGTGCCTTCTCGGATAGTAAGTATCTGTCGGAGAGAGCAAAGTTGACGTGATGCAGTTTACACCAGTCTTCAAGCATTTAAAAAGTTGAGTCCCTGCCAGGCCTCTTCGTCTTGAAACTCACAGCACAAGGTGTGTGCCACTTGCTACTTAGCAGGTAAATGATTTTGTTTCCACCGACTAGACAGAGAAGCCGTTACGACACTGGCTTTCACCCGATTCTGGTAAAACTGTTTGAAATCGCCACTGTTAGAAATTTTCTACAGCCTTTATTACAACTCCTGCAATCCCAAGCAGATGACAACTCCCCACAGCGCAGCTGGGCATTATCTTGCGAATGCCAACAGCCTGGCCTGGGCTGTAGCCTCTCCTACAACCGTAGATCGCATGTTGGACTTCAGCAGTATTATCCTTTCTCTTGCCAGTGAAACCTCGTTCCTAGTCTACAGATCATTCTGCCTCACGACCCAGAGCCACGCGAGTCCTTAAGAAATTTACATTTTTCAGGAAGTCTTGCCAAATTCTACACGGCTGGGAAGATCTTTTCTGGTTTTTTGGTTGGTTTTTTTGGGGGGAGGGGGGGAGTTTGTTGTGTTGTTTTTTTTTTTTAAACCACATGTAGTATGGATCCTTTTCCAACTAAATCAGCAGAAATAAAACAGACCTTGCCACAAATGACATTCCTTCCTCAAAGGCAGTTGGTTCTATTACTTGTGGTGTTGCATTACTTACTAGAACTACTTCTGAAAACAGACTTAAAAGACATTTTAAAAAAAACAAAGGAAAGATACAACTGTGCCATAGGAGCAGTGGGGATAATTCATCTAAGAAGTAGTTCTAATGAAGCACTAAGTGAATTTTAGACTCCTCTTCTTACTTTCTTTGTAGTTGAACATCATCCAATGACAGTGTTGCTCTCCCATCGCTTCACTGGATAATACAGAGCAGAGATTCTTGTTTACGCCTGGTCAGTCCTTCAAAGTGTGCCATTAGTTATTTATAGGTATTAAAAAAAATCATTGTTACTGTACAGGTAGCGTGCCAATTCCAGTACACTGCTCAAGTCACTCGCAATACAAGAGCTGTTCAGCAGTCACGACCGCAAGCCCCGGGCCAGCCTCGAGCAGGGGCGAACAGGAGTCGTCACGGTGCTGGAGCACGCCTCCGCTGCCGGCTGTGCGGCACCGGCACTGCCTTGACCCAGCCCAGCCACCTGTGGAGCGGGCTCAGCTCCCAGCCCGCCATGCCCGTGCCCCGCACACCTTCAAGCCACGTGCCGGATGGATACGGAGGTGATCTCCGAGCCGCTGTGCGACAAACAAGGTCAACTTCTGCCGATGTTAAGAAGGGATTGTTTTAATCCAGCCTCTTCTAGCCTTCACCTGCTCCTGCAAACCACGTCCGCCACGTTCAATTGTAAAACGGGTAATTCACTTTTCTTTTAAATATTTTAAAAAAATGAAAGTTGTGGTCTGAAATAATTTCTGCCACCTGCTTGCACAAAGCAAATTTTTAACAAAACAAATTATTAGCACAAAGTGGTGTCCCAGGACAAAAATCACAGCAGGCACGCGCTGTCCACAGCCGTGTTTTTCTCCTTGTTCTTTTCCTGTAGAGACAAGGGTAGCACCTGAAGGGCGTGCTCTGGGCTCGTCCCTCAGGCCTGCACAGCACAAAGCGACTCGGCCCGTCCTTCCAGCGTTCCTCCCGAGTCCCCAGTTGGAGCATCTGACACAGAAGCTGGGCCACCAGCGCAGCCATGCTCCTGTGGGCTCCACACATGGGAAAGGGGAGCTAGGAAGAATAAGGGTAACATACGAATTAGCTAAAAAATAATTACAAAAGAGATGATTTACAGTTTTAGCTTTTCTTAGGTGGGTAGAAGTCCAGCGTCCACATTGCCGCTGCCAGCAGATCTTGACACTTACATTAAGGTGACAAATGCTGCTTTGGCTTGAGTGCTTGATTACTCAGAATAAGGCCAGTTCTTTCACAAGGTATAGAGGACATTACGTACTGCTTTGGCTTAGAAGTAAACAATGAATGACCAAACTTAATTTACATCTCTAGCTGACCTCTGCTGTGATGTTCAGAATGCTTAAAAAATTTTAATAGTGCGGTAAGGAGGTATTTTTAGTGGCATGTTTTGCTTTTGTTTGCATTTGTAACCAAGAACCAGCTTTTCTGCTTGTTGCTGGTATACTATCAACTCGCTCTGCAACAACATCATAACCAACTAATGTGCAAGAATATCCATGTTCATCACATAGCACAGATAGAAGACAGGCTGGGAAGAAATACATGAAAAAAATAATCAGAATTTCTTTTCTCAGGGTTCTGTTTTTCTAGCGAGTGATAAGATGGTATATATTGCAGATGATTTTTTTTCTGAATGAGGTTTTCAGGTGTAGGGTACACTCATTAAATTTGACAGCTGTTTAAAGTTGTTCCTGAAGTTCACCTCAGCAGCAGCTTTCAAATATATTAAAAAAAAAAAATCAGCTTAAAGCTAATCTAATTAATTTCATGAGGGGGCTGTGGAGTGTAACTGCTTCTTAATGTACATGCACTGCATAGGATCTAGAAGAATTTGCTGCAGATTCTTTAAAACCTGTGTGCCGATTAGTTCAGTTTAACTTTGTGGTATTGAAGAATTCTTCAAATATCTGTGGTTTGATCTACTTCATAAACTTGTATTCTGTAAAGTGCCATAGACCTTGTTGTTTTTTTTTAAATTGTAGCATATTTAAAGAAAAGATATATATATACACAAAATTGTGTGAGATGTGCAATACCAGGAATGGGTTTTGTTGTGGGGGTTTTTCCCCCTTAGTTTTTGCTTTTAAACAAGATATCTGAAAAGGGACTTCCCAGGGAAGAAGTGGCTGGAGTTTTGGGGGCGTGGACAAATTAAAGCGTAGAGTAATGCAATAGAATCACCGATTTTGAAGATTAATACAACAGTAGTAACAGCAGCTTAAAGATTTAACAAAAATCTCTGCTAATTGATTTGAAGCACTCAAGACCTATATAATGCAGACAATCCAAACGTGAAGCCGTGTCCACCTCTGGCAACACGCAATCTAAAAGCTGAACAGGCTCAGCAAGTTTTCTTATTGTGCTTTATCTATAACATGGCTCTGCAAAAGTCATTGCTACTGAGCTATTTCTGGGTTGTCTGTATTGCCTTTGTATCTGTTTTACTCAATAAAGTTCTCTGGATTCCGAGAGATTTTTTTTTTCCAGCCAAATCATTTCAGTTTTGCATTGTTATCCCACATCGGAGTATCTCACGTCCCCGTGGCAAAGGGAGAGGAGTTCAGGTCTTCCTTGAAAGCAATGGGTGCTGGTGCCCACCTCAAGGGAAGGACAGAGCCCAACAAAAGCAGAGCATGGCAGCAACCTATACACCACAGCTGCCCTGTATAGGACAAGCGGCTGTGGCAACCCCGCTAGAGTAGATTTCGAGCCATGGTTTATTTGTGGTACTGTTTTCCTCTTCTTGAGTCACCACTATGTACATGTTAGCATGAATGATGTACCTAATGTGTTATTTTTAATCTAAAATGCCATTAAAATGTGAGTTTTCAAACCTGAACCGGAGTCCGACTACATTAATTCAAACACTGGGGACAAGGCAAGCCACAGCAAGGTCGCTGCAATTGCACCTTTAACGGCATTTAAGATCCCAGCCCACTGATGTTGTTAGCGTGTCAGATTCCCAGCCAACTTCAACAATTACCACCACTTACTGATCAAAAAGTATGTATGTGATCTGAAATTGTAGTTCTGTGTTATACAATGCAGTTGCGTTAAAGAGCCTCTCCCGTTGAATGTGTGTCAGACAAGTGTTCTTCCTTGCACAACTAAAGCACTGCAGTTCTTTCTCATGAAAAGGGGTAGCAAAGGCTGTAAAACTAACACACCCTCAGCACACAGACTTCTAAAATGGTGCTTGCCACAATGTGTCTTTCTTATCCATCCCCTGTGACTGGAGAGGTTACAAACTGTTCCCTGAGCAGATTTACAGCAGAACCGGGAGTGAGGCTTTCAGCAATTTCAAGAGAAGTCAGGATGTCACCTTTGTCTCATAGTTGCTATGGTCTGTTTCTGTTACGTTTACATCTAATTAATTCCATGTAGTTTAATTACACTTCTGACAGTTTCTAAACTCCCAGGAAGTAGCTCTTGGTTAAAACGTGGAACATTTAGAAACTCACAGTGCAGAAGCAGTCGGGGGATAGGTGCCACTCAGTGCCTCTTAAGGATTTCAAAGCAGGTACAGATGCAGCATTATTCTACAAATACAAAACACTGCCCAAAGGAATTACAAAGTACTGGTTCGCGTAGCTAGAAGTATTACATCCCTTTTTCGGTGAGGTTAATGTTGGCAACAGGGGGCAGAGTTCAATTCCCTACTCAGGTGAATTACTACAGATTTCTGTGTTCTAGTAACTTGTCCCCCAAGCTCCAGCTAGGTGCAGAATGGTGATACGCAGAGAAAGTAAATGTGTATTACCAATATCAGAGGGACAGGAATATAAAGATGCTGTTCCTGTGGTTCACTGAAGGCTGGTTTTCAAATAGATGCCTTTTACTTGATTTGTGGTGCCTCCTTATCAGTGAAATGCTGAGAGCATAGCAATCGCTGTCCCTAACCAGCTTTAGCTGTCACTCAGGTGCAGT